AGCTGCTGGGTTTAGGGACATTGAGCCTGGTAAAAATGTTCAAACCCTGACTGAGTTTGGGGTTTAGGGTTTTGGGTCCGGGTTTGGGCTTTTTTCGAAGGGCCGCAGGTTTGGGGTTCTGGGTTAGTTTAAATTTTGGTGTTCAGGTTGCAATCCCCCAAAACCCTAATACTGAAAATTCACATCTTCACCTCAAGGCCCAAACCCAACCCTAAGCCGCCCAGCCCAAAAGCTCCTCGTCATCGCATCGTAGCCGGCAGCCGAAATGCCAGGCCCTGGGCACAGCATCCGGTTAGGGTTGTGTGCAGGCCAGCAGGACAGATACCGTCATGATAGGTCAGATACTTCAAAGATGCATCGTCGGCCAAGCCACCCGAAGCCCCTGGAAAGTCCCGCCAAGAGCCTGGCCTTGACACTGACATTGAACTTGTTTTGCCTGCCCGAGGGGATGGGATTTGAGGATTCAGGGCAGGTTGTGGGGTTTAGGGTTTAGGGTTTCGGGTTCGTGCGGGGATTTCTCGCCCGCAAGGCTAGCAAGCGGCACCACATCCGTGTGGATGTGGACAAAGCCACTGCTGCCCCGTAACCGGGAGTTTTCACTCCCGGCTTGCAGCGCCGGAGCTGGGGGGCTCCGACATGCTGCTGCAAACCGTCCGCCAGAGTTCTCACTCTGGCAAGGACAGTTTGCGACGGAGAGTTTGCACTCTCCGCCCGACAGAGTTTTCACTCTGCCTCCCCGAACACTAAACTTAAACCCCTAAACCCCGGCCTCCAATGGCCTCAGTGACTGAGGCCCCCGGCAGACACTGACACTGAGGGCGGGTTTAGGGTTTTTAGGGTTTAGGGTTTAGGGTTTGGGGGTTTAGGGTTTGGGGTTTAGGGTTTAGGGGTTTAGGGTTTTAGGGCCTGGGGTTCACAGAAGAGGTTCCCTGAGAGGCTTATGCTCGCACCGCCGTTGGTAGTATGATGTCTAAAAGGCCACAATCCAAGCCACAAGCCCCGGTTTCCAATTCCTGAAGAACCCTAAACCCAACCCCCCGAACCAGCCTGCGAATGCGGCTGGAGCAAGCTGGCCGCCCCATCGGATCCAGGAGGCGGGGTTTAGGGTCGTGGGTTTTGGGTCCGAAGTTAGGGTTTTAGGTTTTGAGTTTGGGGTTGGTTTTTGGGTTAAGGTTTTCAGATTTGGGTTTTGGGTTTAGGGCTTTAGGGTTTGGTGCTTGGGTGTTGGGTTTGAGGTTTGGGAATCGGGTTTGGAGTTTCAAATTTGCGTTTTGGGTCTAGGGTCTGACGTGGTTTGGATTTGGGGTTTAAGGTTAGAGGTTTAGGTTTTCGTTTCAGGGCTGGAGTTTGGATTTTGCGGCTAGGGTTTCGGGTTTAAGGCTTAAGGTTTGGGTTTCTAGTCTAGGGTTTGAGATTTGGGTATTGGGTTTAGGGTCTGATTTTTCATCACCTGAACCCCGGCCCCCGGTTGGTATCCCCTAGTAACAACCCCTGCCGAAACCCCAAACGCAAATTTCGAAGCCCAAACACAAGACCCAATGTTCAAACCCTAAACCCAAATTTCAAGTATAAACCCAGCACCCACATTTCAAGCCCTTTAAGCCCAAACCTCAAAGCCTTCAGCCGTAAGCCCCAAACTCCATGACACTGCTTAGGGTTTAGGGTGGGGGTGTGATATTTAATATAGCAGAACAGGGCCCGGGAGACAAAAGTATAAAAGGACAGCACTGAAAGGGCTAGAATAATAGCAGTAACAATAAGAATAATAGTATTAATAGCACCAGAACGGCACACGAACGCGGCGTGGCGCGGCCGCAGCCGGCTGGTCCCGTCGCTGGCAAAGCATCGTGTCCATTGCCTTCCAGCAAGCGGTCGCGCGCCACTTGGCCGAGAAAACACCGGCGGAACCCGCAGAAGAGCCCTGCTCTGTGAGCGCGCTGGCCCTGGCAGCAGCCGCAAGAGCGAGCCTCCTGCCGTCCCGCCCGAGGAAAATACAAAATCGAATTACAAGTAGCAGTGGCAATCGTAGCAGTAGTAGTCGTCGTCGTGCTGGAAATGGTAGTACTGCAAGTACTATCAGTAGTACCGGTACTAATAGTACTCGCAGTAGTAGTCGTTGTAGTCGTCGTCGCCGTAGTCTAGCAGTAGTCGTTGTCGTAGTCGTAATAAAAATCGTATTAATAAATAGTTGCACCGTGTCCATTGCCGTCGAGCAAGCGGTCGCGCGCCACTTGGCCGAAAACCACCGGCGGAACCCGCGGAAGAGCCTTGCTTTGAGAGCGCGATGGACCTGGCAGCAGCCGCAGGAGCGAGCCTCCTGCCGTTCCGCCCCGGCAACATACAAAATTAATCGAATTAGCAGTGGTAGTAGTAGCAGTAGTAGTCGTTGCCGTACTAGAAATGATGGTAGTGCCAGTAGTAATAGTAGTACTAGTTACTAGTACGCATAGTATTCGCAGTAGTAGTCGTTGTAGTCGTTGTCCTAATCGTAGTCGTGGTGGTGGTGGTGGTCCCAATACTTTTCACAACTGCGGAGATGGTGGTGTTAATTGTCGTTTTGGTCCACGTAGTGGTGGTCGGTATCAGCGTATACTTTACCACTAAGTACTGCACGGTTCCTTACACGGGTGCGAACAACTCGATACCATTTTTGTTTCTCGTACCACATTACAGCACTTACACCCCTGTTATCCCTTGTTAGAAAAGCACTACCAATACGAATGCAACAAGTAGTACGGGCTGTTCTCAGATTGCGAATACCACGACAATAGCGGTGGCACTAGTAGACAACTACGACAACCGCAGCACCAACTACGACCGCTTTGCGACGGAAACTACCGCTTGGACTGTTACCATTATGACGTTTTGCAAGTAATTGGACAAGAAATAAATAATATTTGCTGAAATTTGCTTTCTTGATTGCAAGAGCAGCGAGCGAGCATGACAGATTAGGGTAGGTGGCAAAGGTGGCAGGCGAACAACGACTCAGTAACACAGCCGCACAAAGCTGTGGTGACCGGCGTGCTCGGGCGTGCTGACATGTCCACAGGCCAGGGCCTCGTGCAAAGCTAGCCCATCGCCAACAACATTGGCTGGCAGTGGGTAAGGAATGACTGTCGCCGGGTATTGCCAGGCACGAACCGGCCACGAGGTTATGAAGCAATTCATCAAATCCGTAGATAATGAATCGGTTCACGCCTGGAGGTGAGATAAGCCATGTCCGCCGACAATAACAAACAGCTCGCCACGTGCTGACCGCGAATTCGCAGACCGCATAGCAAACGGCTGAGACCAACGTAATCGGTGAGCAAGGTTCAAGCGAGCTAGGCGGCCACCGGACCGCCGGACCAAGCAGCACTTTGCTGCACGTGCGAATTGCTCCGGTGCCATTTGCGAAACATTAAACAGTGTTACAACAGTCATCGTGCAGGGGTGTCGATATATGGCACGACGGACACTCGGTAAAGGCCCGGCTGTACTTGCCAACGAGTTTCTCGTTGATGAACGTCGTTCTTTCGTTTTGCGTGCGCCGGACCGCGCCGGACCCAGAGCGTCGAAGCAGACGAAGGCTGCCGCAGCACCGGCTCAAGCTCGCAATCGATGCAGCATTCCAAGCAGAATTGCGAGTACCAGCAATTGGAAGGTTGGAGCGGGGAGGGGCGTTGGTGGTTGTGGCACTGGAAAAACCGTGGCCGTAGTGGCTAATCGTGGCCGTTGCGGCTGCAAAAATATGCGGGGTCGGGAGTCGGAAGTCTCCCAACAAGCTCGTTGGGGGTATATCATGCCAAAAACGGGATCAGCAACAGGCAACCGCTAGCCGCACAGGATTTAAATTGTGCAGTTGGAAAGCACAAAACGAGCGTCGCGCTTTGGGAACTACCGGCGGCGTGTTAGCTCGCTAGGGTTCGCGTAAATTAACGTCGGAATACGTCGGACATGAGCCACTGTCCAAACGGTCCATGCTGCGCTCTGGCTGGCGCACGGGAATCTGGACCAAGCTGGAGTATGAGCGAATGGGGACGGGAAACCTTTTCGTTGAAAAACTGGCAGGAATGACTGAACAATGTCTTGTTCTCCAAAATGAATGCCGCTTGCAGCATGTTGAAACAATTCAAATTCCGAGCGGCGAGTCTTTGCACGTTCTTGGCAGGTGTGAGACTATGAGGAGGGGACACATGCACGCCCACACGTACCCGAAGGCTGGCTGCCTAGGCCTCCGGAAATCATTTTAAGCCAGCACTTACTGTAAATTCGGATGCGTGCTGGTACTTGTCTGTCGCAACCGGCAGTACAGCTTGGAACCGGAACGTGGCAAAGCAAGCAACAGGCTCTGGCTGTAAGACTTTGAAGGCCACCTTGCGGTGCGTCTCGCCACAAACAGGGTATATACATATGTATATGTATATATACATAAATTTGTATATATATATATATATAGTTGTTCCAGACTTTGAGTTTAGGGTTCCCTTTGGGTGCAGAGAAGACAAGGGCACGAAGGGTTGCGGGCACGAAACGATGAAGGGAGTATCAAATCACGCTCTGGAGGGGATCGTATCCACTTTTGCACAAACCCAGCGATCCTTCATTCTCAGATCCGCCTGGAGGGCCAGCCCTGGCATACAGCAACGATCAGCAACGATTCTCGGTCCTGGCACTTGCCAGACCGATAAGTTGTGAAGTTGCGGGAATACGGGAAGAGAGGCGGTTAGACCCCACCTGCAGGTTCCTGAAAGCAACAGGCCATGGGCCACGACCCAGGCAGATCGCAAGCCTATGTCCCTTCTTTCGAACCTGGGCCTCTACGAGGATGGGGAAGTTCCTGGTGCTTTGCGGCTCCATGGTCCGTCGTCCGCCGAACAGCACGCAGTCGCGACATGCTCTTGCAATAACACAAGCAACTTCTGACTCGAGCAGTCTTTTTCCGGTTTGGGCCCTGCATCTAACTGTACAACTTGCACGCCAGGGTGGCGCAGCAAGCCGGAGTGCTATTTAACCGGAAATCAGGAGTCCAACACATGGACCCAGGACGATGCGGACATCGGAGTAGAGGGCGGATTGCCTGTGCGGGCAGATGTCGCTAGCCTGGCCCCGAGGCCAAACCGGCCTCTTATTGGGGGTTTAGGGTTTAAGGTCGTTGCCAAATACCGTGTAAGATCGCATTCAACACGTAAGATAACGACTACCATACAAGAGCACAGCCAAGGGATACGATAAGGGTTGGAAGAATTGCAAACCGTATTCCTTTCTGATCCCTCTTATGTAGAGGCGTATGTAATAGTATAATATGGCCGAAAACCCTGTTGTAATTATTCAGGACTGTGAAATAGAACCTTCTGCACCGGCTCCCAGAGATGCGTGAGAAACATCAAGAATGGTTGGATGGCACTCGAGCCAGCTCGTTTTCGAGAGATGAGCGGCGATAGTGTGTTCAAGGGATATGCGTCGTCCTGTGTTCGATGGTTGCTGTGATGGGTTCAAGCTTGTGTAAATCTGTGTAATAGGTTGAAACTCGTACATCAAGATGTAAAAAGAAGATGCAGATAGAGATCATGGTGGCGATGAGCATGACGATGATAACCATGATGCTGGTGCTGATGCTGATGCTCATGATGATGGCGGTGGCGGTGGCGGTAGTTGTCGTAGTCGCAGTAGTCGTAGATGAAGTCGCAGCAATCAAAGCAGAAGTAGCAGCAGCAGGAGCATGAGCAGGAGCAGGAGGGGGAGCAGCTGTGGCAGTGGCTATGCAGTAGCAGTGGCAATAGAATCACAGTCGGTGTAGGATTAGAAGTAGTAGTAGCAGTACTAGTAGCAGTAGTAGTAGTAGTAGTAGTAGTAGTAGTAGTAGTAGTAGTAGTAGTAGTAGTTGGTAGTAGTTAGTAGTAGTTAGTAGTAGTTAGTAGTAGTTAGTAGTAGTTAGTAGTAGTAGTAGTAGTAGTAGTAGTAGTAGTAGTAGTAGTAGTAGTAGTAGTAGTAGTAGTAGTAGTAGTAGTAGTAGTAGTAGTAGTAGTAGTAGTAGTAGTAGTAGTAGTAGTAGTAGTAGTAGTAGTAGTAGTAGTAGTAGTAGTAGTAGTAGTAGTAGTAGTAGTAGTAGTAGTAGTAGTAGTAGTAGTAGTAGTAGTAGTAGTAGTAGTAGTAGTAGTAGTAGTAGTAGTAGTAGTAGTAGTAGTAGTAGTAGTAGTAGTAGTAGTAGTAGTAGTAGTAGTAGTAGTAGTAGTAGTAGTAGTAGTAGTAGTAGTAGTAGTAGTAGTAGTAGTAGTAGTAGTTAGGTAGTAGTAGTTAGTAGTAGTAGTAGTAGTAGTAGTAGTAGTAGTAGTAGTAGTAGTAGTAGTAGTAGCAGCAGCAGTAGTAGTAGTTGTTGTAGTGGTGGTAGTAGTAGTAGAAGTCGTAGCAGTAGTAGTACTAGTAGTTGTAGTAGTAGTAGTAGTAGCAGCAGTAGCAGCTGGAGCAATAGAAACGAGAAATACTCTGAGCTCGGCCTTCGCCGAGCACGTACTCCGCGGCTGCTTGTTCGCTAACGCGGTCCCAATCTGGAAAGCTGCTGTCCGACAGGATGTGCCTTGCTTTGAGGTCCATGAATGATCAGACGTTCAGCCGTGTAGAATAACCTAGAAATAACTATCCTCATACAGTGCATCCAGCATTCGAGCCCCACATCTAGCATCTAAGCTAGGATCAACATTGGCGCCATGCAGGCTTCTTTGAACCAGTAATGCCGGAAATAGGCTCTGGATACAACATGCCCTGAACCCAGCATCCTAAGCCCGGAATCCTGAATCCTATAGATCCCAAACTGTAGGAGCCTGTAAAGCCCGAAAAACACAAAATTTTGCCCAGTGGCTGCCAGGAAGAACAGGATGCAACATCAGTTTGTGAGCGTCCCACTTGTCTCAACCTAGAGCGCATTGCAGTGTTTATTGTTGCTGGCCCAGGCGAAAATGCAAAGTGCAGTATGTATTCGCACCAATGCCAGCAACACGAAACTCTGAATCCCTAAAACGGAATACGAAGTGTACAAAGGGACCCTGTGGCCTCATTTAGCCTAGAAGCTTCGCGGCATTGATGGGGTGAAGCCCAAGGCGTTTGCAGGCAGATCCACAGCGGTGGGACTGAAGGCATCGGAGGTAGCCTCGGCGGTGTGAGTGAAGCAGGAAGTTTGGAGGGGTAATTAACCTAGGCCTGAAGGCTCACGGTCTACAATGCCCAGGCAGACGTATGCACCTACATAGTCCTATATACATGCACACGCATGTAGACAGCCAGGCAGGCAGGCAGGCAGGGACGTGCGGCTTAGGGTCACGGGCCATTGGGGTTCTCACGCCTCTTGGACCGCAGAATTCCGCAACGGCCGTCGCTTTCGTGCCAACAGATCGGAGTTCCGGACACATATTAGGGGCTGTCGGATGCTTCAGCCGCTTCGACAAAACGAACTCTTCGAAGGGAGCCTGCTGGGATCTTGTCCGCGTGCACGCTGAACCCTAAAGCGACACCATGAGGAGCAGAGAATAGCCCAACTGCAAAATGCTGTCGAGGATCAAGGATATGGCCCACGTGACCCGAGTGGAACTTTCGAACCTACATGACCTGAGTGTCTATAAACCCGACGTAACATTCGCCCAAGAGCCGGCCGTACCAAGGTCACCTGGGCCATACTCGCCCGTGATGGAAAGGACCTTCACAGATGACCAGTAGAGTTTTATAGGGCTTACAGGCGCTTAGAGTGTGGGGTTCATGAGGTTTAGGGATGGGGTATATCAACTGTTAAATGCTCTTGCCTAACAGGTCCACATTGGGAACAACTCTGTTGTTGTGGTTGTGCTAATATATAGGGGCCTTAACAATTAGAATCGGGTTTTGGGGTATATTATACTCCAACTATAATAAGGAACCCCCAAAATAGTATTGGTAACCCCCAAAATAGTATTGGTAATTATTTTGGCCACTCTATAGTACTGATGCTGAGAACGTGAGACTTCGACGAGGCCTGCGGATCCGTGAGGAGCACCTCATTTTGCCGCGCGACGCCCTGCAAGTCAGACACAATAAACCGTCCGCCGGATTCCTGGTTCAGGGCTCAACGGTGGGCTTCATGACGGGTTGGAGGGTCTAAGGTTGTAGGGTCTGAGGGTCATACATAGGGTTTGGTACATCCTTGTTGGTGCCGTTTCCCGAAACATACATAGCTCTAGTAGCCACATGTCCTACATTGTATTTCTCAACTGTACCTCGGAATGATGGCTTTCGTCTACTCAATGCTTGCTTGAACCGAGCCCAAAATCTTGACCCAGTCTCCTCGAAAGAGAAGTGCAAGAAGGCTTGAACCAAGTCGTTGTGCAGGAGCTGCGCATCTGCCACATAGCCGTTGTTGGAGTTGTACTTGAGAAACACACCTCGATCCGATCAGAGGGGCAGCTTGGGACGTGCAGGAGAATCTGAGCTTCGGCAAGTCGTCGTAGTTTGCACGGTGCAAACCCGATATCTCCAAAGGATCTGGGTTTAGGGTTTAGGAAGAACTCAGGTTCAGGGTTTACGAGTCAGCACTTAACCGGTCATCCACCTGGCAGATATCGCTCGGCAGCGAAGCAGGCAGGCACGTCGGGAACTGCGTTTTCCACCTGCAGCTTGGCAGGGAGGGCTGTGCTATCTCTGCTTTATTCCACCAGAAGATTATGTGACTGAGCTGATATGCTTGTTGACATCAACTTGGCTTCGAACTTCTACCCTACCGGATGCTCGGAGCGTTCCCGTCTGCGGCACCTCGTAGAGATAGCACGGCACGAAGAACAGTGTTGCATGCTTTGCAGTTGCCCCTCCCGAGTTCTGCAGGCGAGCATTGAACACGGAGGCGAAGTAGGAGGCCAAAGCGGATGACTTCGCCTTGATCTGCCATGGTGCGATTGTCAGAGTTCGCGTGTTTCGGTAGCTACAATGAGATGTCGCGACTGCACGGTTACTACTCCTCCTGCTCCTCCGACGATCGACGACGGCGAGCTCTACCAGAAGCGCTACCACACAAACAACCCTTGCAAGAACAGCAGCAGGAACGACGACGACCACGATGACGACAACCGCAACATCAACCACCACAGCAGCAACTAAGCAATCAACATCCATGCATCAACTTGCAGCAGCAGTAACCAAGTAACCAAGCAACCGGCCAAACAAAAAAAACACCGAGCAAACAGACAAATAAACAATCACACAAACACCAAACAAACAAGCAACAATCAACACCACATCAGCGAAAGCAGAGGCGGCAGCAGCAGCGGAGGAAGCAGCAGCAGCAGAAGCAGCATCATCATCAGTAACTAACAACCAATAACAACAACAACCGGCCCCTACAACAATAACACTAATACCAACAAGAACAGCGCAACCAGAACAACGCTGACAAACAAAATCACCAGCAGCACCAGCAGCAGCAGCAGCAGCAGCAGCAGCCACAGCCAGCAGCAGCCGCACGGCCACCACCAACCAACACCACCACTGGCACCACCACCACCACCACCACCACCACCACCACCACCACCACCACCACCACCACCACCACCACCACCACCACCAGCACCACCAGCACCACCAGCACCACCCGCACCACCAGCACCACCAGCACCACCAGCACCACCAGCACCACCAGCACCACCAGCACCACCAGCACCAACACCAGCACGACGACTGCTATTAATTACCACTACCACTACTACTAAGTTACTACCACTACCACGACCACAACCACGAGGACGACCACGACAACGACACAACCACGACCACGACTGCCGCTACTACTACTACTACTACTACTACTACTGCTACTACTACTACTACTACTACGCCTCCTACTGCTACTTCCACTGCTGCCACGATTGCTAGTACTACTGCTGCTACAGCTTAAGTTGTTCATGCCATTCATGCCACTAGTATTCGCTAACCCCTAATATTAAAAAAACCGTATCTTTCAAAACTCCCGGCCATCGGGCCCACAATTGAAACTTAGTTTGAAACATTATGGGGGGCCAGGAGTGTAGTTTTAATAGAGCGAAGCTGACAGCAGTACGAAACTAGAGCTTTAGGGTTTGGGGCTTTAGGGTTGAGGAGATGGGGCTTTGGGGCTTTAGGGTTGAGGACTTGAGGGCTTGGGGCTGTAGTGCTGGCTCATTATTAATCCGACTCATACCCGGATGCCCCGAAACCCCCCGAATAAGGCCCTGATATAAAAACACAATCCCGGCAATTAGTTTTCTATTAGGGAGGCGGGGATGGGGGTTGGGGGCGTTTTAATATTAGGGGAAAATGATTACTGCTGCTATGCTACCCTTGTGACGAAAACTACTGCCAATGCTGCTGCTTCTGCAGCAGAAACGAATATGAAACCAATATCTACAGAAATACGAGGTGAAGTATCCTTCAGCCATCGACCATGCGGACTGTCAGATTTCGTTCCAACGTTCCAAGCGGCATGAGCCTCGACCGCGACCCGCGAGTTCAAAGCTGCATCGAGGTATCGGGAGGATTTCGCAACCATCCAGGTGCCGTCCTTGGACACGCAGTCGTCTTGAAAACTGTACACCTCAGCTGGCTCACACGGAGAAGGGATGTCGACTTTTGGACGTGAGAAGTTCAAACAAAGGCCGCCAACCCTGAAGCGCCAAAGCCTAAACTACAAGTCCAATGCCCGGCTCAGGCACCAGTCGCATGCCTCCCCGCATGTAGGGAAGCTGACGCCGCACGACCGGCCCTGCTGTGAACTTCTTCTGCTGAAACTCAGTCCCATCGAAACCTTAGCCCGCACCAGGATCCGAAACCCTAAACCCTAGACCCTAAACCCTGAACTCTAAACCCCAAACCCTAAAACCCTAAACATCGCCCAGGCTGTATCACGACACCACACTTCGACAAGACATCCGTAACCGAGGATGGGAGACTGAAGTGGGTTCGTGCAGCTCGGTACCGGATCACGTGCTTCTTGCCGAAGATCCTTCGCCGATGCTGTCGCGCTGAGGGCTCCGAATTTCGCTTGAAAAAAGATCGGGTTCTACAGCTTACTCCGAAAACCCTTGCAGCCCTAATCCTCAAACCCTTTTAAACCCTGCACCCTCAGGCCCTGAAGCTCTGAACTCCTTCAACCCTGATTGAAGCCACCTCTCAAAAAGCACCCAAACTCAAAGTGTGCACTAGCATACCCACGACTACAGACTCGTCGCCGTAGCGAGAAGCCCTAAACCCGAAACCCCAGACCCTAAACCCTTGACCCTACCTTAACCCTGAAGGACCTACCTTTTTCAGGACTTATATAAGGAAATCGTAATAAGGAGCCCTAAAACGGGTAGGTTATTCAGGGTTAAGGTAGACCCTTAACCCCCAAACCGGAAGCTTCGGGGACTGGGATGTAGGAGAGTAACAAGGGCTTTCTTGTGAGTTCTATTACCATTCTTCCTACTAATCAGCGTACGGCTATTTATCACCACTATCCGCGATTGCTAGTCTCATTGTTGCGACCAAACGTTCTTCTCTGAACAATCCCAGAGCCGTGATTCTCATCCCGACACACACGCACTTACTTGTTCGAAATCCTTGCATGCTTCGATGTATAACGTTGAGGATTCGGAACCCGAAGCCCATAATCGGAACCTGAATAAACAACCACAGCCCCATACTGCGCAAACCAAGGTCCCTTGCTCGGGCAGTTCGAATTCGACGACCCGAAGCTGTGGCTTCTGCTTCCTTTGAGGGTGGTTGCCCGTCCAGTGGGTTCTGGCTACACACACAGGGGCTTCTGAACTGTGAGCGCTGTTGCTGGAGCTATCAACAGTGCAGGTCCTCAGGAGTACAGTCGAGGAGTGCATTCTGGAGCCTGAAAGAGCATACTTACCGTTCAAACACCTTATTGGCACTAGCATACTTGCCGCACTTGTGGTAGGGTGAGTCCGAGGCTCGTGTGACCTTTCGGGACCCCGCAAAAAGGGGAAAATTAAGGTCTTCTACACCATGGCTCTTGCTGTGAAAAATTGCAAGGGGCCTGGGCACTGTGGCAAGGGTTACAAAAGCATGTCGCGACCAAGGGATCGGCGAGTTTCTGAGGCTTCGCTTCGGATTCCTCTGCAACGATCCACTGGCTGCTCTGCGATGAGGTAATGGTGGAGGACACAGATCTTGGCTGCAAACCGCAGGAACTGGAGCCAGAGCCACTTAGATTTTAAGGAAGGTGATGCTCCAAGCTTGTAGCAAGGCAATGTGCTGCCGGCTATGCATGCGGCTCCCTTTAAGGGAAGTTGGAGCTTAAGAACAGAAATTTTACGAACAGAAAGGACAGCTCCCAGAATACCCGAGAGTCGAGAAGGCCTGGCACAGGCCGCGCACCGTGCTACCAGAGAGTGCAAATGTTCCGCCGCTCAAACACGCCAGCTGCTGCAGCGGTGCAAAGCTTTCCACCGTCGTGCCAAAGCCAATTCCGTGCACATGCACTCCGGAATGCTGGCCTCGCAGGTAGGTGTCCTGCAGGAACTCTCTTCTAAGGAATGCCGGCAGAGGTGAATGCTTATCATTGAAAGCGTCACAATTACCACTGCAGTTAACTTGCTGAGACTGCCTTAATGATAGGCATGTCTGAAAACCTGACTCCTGGAAGAAGTTCAGTGCTGCTTTTGTGTCCGCCGGCCGCCCATCGGAGAGTATCACAAGCTCCCCTGGCAAGTCCGGATACTGGGCCAGCACATCGGCAGCCTCCTGCAGAGGCAGCGCTTAGGGCTCAAATTGAACTTTGACACCAGCACCACTAGGGTCCCTATGGTGCGAATCTGACGAGGCTCGGTCCTTCCAAAAGGAAGCCCGGAACCCGAAAGCAAAAGACTCCAATATCCCTTAAGTAGGGAAGGTACCTTTAAATTATAGTAGCATCCCTATTGTGACTTGGAGCTTTTTCTCTAATTAAGGCATATCAAGTCTCCTGCAGGCCCTGGAGGTAGAAAGTGCCATTGGCTGCACGGTCGCCAAGTGCGAAGGTCTCTGCGAAGTCATTCGCCAGCAGTTTCTTTGAAACGGCGCTAGCGGTCTCGTGAAATGCAACGGCAGAGAAGAAGTCTTGAGGCCGAGCTCTGGCATGCTCCCGCGCAAACTTCGCAGCGCAAAGCTCTGCTGCCTCAAGCCTGGCCGAGCTACATGAATATAGGCTTTGCAAAGTCTCGCTCTCGCTTCAATCTTCACCAGTTTTCGTGTATGGAGCCCGAAACTGTCCTAGGGTATTGAACTATCCCTCGAATCCACATTGTGACCTGCTAGCTGATGCTGCCGAGGTATGAAATTGAAAGCCAAAAGCTTAGATGCCAAAGGCCCTAAACAGCCCTAACCCTGCTGCCCTGTAAGCCCCAGAGGCCTTACACCTCAAACCCCGAACCTTCAAACAGCCTAAACCCCCAAACCCGATACAAACCCAAACCCCTAAACCCGACATAAATCCTAAACCCCTAAACCTGATATGAAACCTAAACCCTAAGGCGTAAACCTAAACCCTGAACCCTAACAGGCACCCAATCCGAACCTCGTGAGGCTGGCACACTGGCTGCCAAGTTCACGCCTCGTCTCGGCGTCAGCCTCCACGTCCTGGGTTTCGCTTTGGGGTTTGGATTTAGGATGGTTTAGAATCTAAGGGTGTATTTAAGGGTTTAGGACTTTGTTTTAGGGTCTGGGTTTAGGATTTAAGGATCTAGGATTCAGGGAGCCTGTATGGGTTCTACAAGGGTTGCATGATCGCACTATAGGGACTATAGGGGCTTATGAGGGTTCTACAAGGATGCAGTAAAAAGTTTATGCAAACCTTTTGTCCGAAGTCTCTTGCGGAAACCCCGAAACTGCGAAGCCACAAAACACCTCTCGGATCCGCAATCTTGCAGAAACGTGCTGCTTTTGTTTACAAGACCTGGATGGCCACACGAGAACGCGCAATTTTTGCTGTGGCCCTCGAGAAGGCTCACGCCAGGAAGGTATTTTTGGTTTGGAGCGGCAGGGGGGGAGGGGGTTAGAGACTTTAGGGTCTGGCGTGTCCTGCTGGCGCATGCTGCCGGAAGCATCAAGAACCAGCACGATGTGCCGCGGCCTGAAGTGGAGGACGACAAGGTCCACGCGAGGGCTTGCAGGCTTTCAAGATCTTTCAAGAGATGTGTACCCAAAGGCCCCAAAGTAGTTCCTTTTGGGGGTTCATATATTAGAATCCTATAGGGTAACTACCAAAAGGAACTACTTTGGGGCCTCTGGGTAGGGGCTGATGGGTTCATGCAGGCCTTAAAAGCCAAAACCCCAAAACTGAACCCCCCAAATTGCCAAAGGCCCTCAAACTGCAAACCGGAAAACCAGAATCCCTGACTGCCCGAAAGAATCCTTAATTCCCCGCAATACCAGACAAACTCGATTCGAAGATTTGGTTTTCGGCCTCGGAGGAATTTGGGTTTTGAGGGTAGGGTTCAATTAAAGCTTGAGTGAGTTCGGTGTTGAGGTCGAAAAATGAAAAGGCATGAACCTGATGTCTTGTGGTGTCTAGGGCGTCAAGCGCCTGTAGGGATGCGTCTCAAGATGTCGGAGCGATGAAAACTGAAGGACATCGCTGGGGTCAACAGCATGGTAGAAATGCGGTAGCCAGACATTTGGGTGGTTGTCAAAATTAAGGTCCCTTTTTGGGTCCCTAATATAGTACGGCACCTAATATTCAGGGTACCCAGAAAGGCACCTTAATTTTGACAACTACCCAGTTGTCCACCCATCAGTTCCGAAGTTCTCCCGTCGTCGTCGGCCTGCTAGTGTCGGGCTTCTGCTTCGTGGGCTTCGCCACGCCAGCGCCCGGCTTGCCAAGAAGCGCGGGGAGCTCACCTAAGCCGCTGAAACCCTCTCGCTGCAAAAAAGTAGTACAAGCTGATACTTCACAACAGTTCCTGGGAAGAAAATTAAGGGTGCAACCACTACTATCTATATGCCAGCTCCAGGAGATTGAAGATGTACCTACTCAACTGTCTACTGAAATTTAGTGAGCATGTCGGTTCAGGGTTTGAAGCATGAAAAACCTATAGCTCTGTCACGACGGAATCCGACATGTTGTTCAATCTCTGTGGGTATCGTGGGTGGGGCTGATCAGTGCAAGTGCCCAGATGTACCACACCTCGGACAAGTATCCGCTGTTATCTTTCTGGGTCCCAGTTTGGCAACCTGAAGCTCTGAAACCCCAAATTCTAACAGATTTCGGCTAAGTCAGGTTCCACTCTGGTGACGTAAGCGATCGTGTAGGCACCGACTCTCAGATTGCAGCTAAATCCTCTGATCCCGCCTGGCCTGCACATGAACACACACAGGATGAGGGTTTAGGACTCTCCGCACCGGCAGAGCTTTGGCTGAGGGTTTGCCTGGAATAGACGAAAATGGATGCTGGAATGATCGGAACCCTAAGCAAACCAAATCCCCGATACCTGGTTCAGGATTCCACCGAAAGCTTGCAGCTCGGCAACCGACCACATCAGCATCGGCCCAGCTTTCTTCGTCACTCTCTCCGTCGTCGTGCACCGTTGCCAGCTGGCTCAGCAACTTGACGGCCTTATGTGCTAGAAGCTCATACGTCAAGGGTTGTTGCCGAAAGGATTCTGTACCCCTGTAACCCCTAGCTGTATCGGAGACAACCCTGTGCAGAAATGCTTGGTGATCTCTTGCTTCTGGCTCCAACAACCTGCCTTTCAAGGGCTATACCCTGATACCCTGTATGTGTAATCTATTTCGAAAAAGGGAGGGCAACAGGTGTGGCTTGGGCAGCTTCGGGGCCGGGCCCCACCCCAGACCTTAGCATCTAAGACGCAAGGAAAGAGCTTGAGAATCTGCATCTCAAGTCTTCGTCAGCTAGAAGACTACAGTTTGGAAGTGGTGAGTATGAGCAGACGAACACCTGAAGTCACGTCGACCGGAAGGGCAGGACCCGGACCGCGCAACTGTTAGCTTTCAGCCTTCTACCCGAATCAGTGGCCAAAATACCAAGCAAGAGCCCACATCGAACGATGCTGAAGTCTTCAACCCACCACAAACGCTTCAATCTCCAAGATTGAAAAGGCTGAGGCCAGTGCTTCGTCGGACTTGCCCACTTTCAGGGCATCCGTGCACGATTGAGTGCTGCCTGGCTCTTCTCATGCTCTTTTCATGCAGGCTTATGCCGTTTTATTCTTGCTGCTGTTTCATTCGGAGCTTCTGTTGGGCAGTCATGTGGTTGTTCTTGTGGCCGCTCTGCAGGCCTGCGTTCAGAGATGTACTTACCCAAAGGCCCCAAAGTAGTTCCTTTTGGGTGTTCATATATAGAACCCTAGAGGGTAACTCCCAAAAGGAACTACTTTGGGGCCTCTGGGTACTTGTAAGGGAAAGCAGGAAAAAGGAGCGCATGGTCTCGCAGAAGACTTGTCAGTCCAGGATTCAGAGATTCGATTTCGATTTCAGGATGGTGGGGATTCGCAGCCCCTAAACTCTGAACCTCGAAGCTGCACTCTGGGGTGGACCTTAAAAAGGCAGACGGTACGAGCGGCAGGGGTGTCGGCTTTTGGGGTTCAAAGGGTTCTTGGGCTGATCTTCCTTGGTGTGTATGGCGCCCATTCCAGTGGGTTTACAAGGCTCGGAGCCAAAACGAAATCAAGCTGCCGATAAGCTCGGCGCTCTCTTCAATGATCAGCCGCTGGAGAACGTCATGCGAGGGCACGTTTTTCTCCTGGCTTTCAGGCTACTTGTCGGGTATCATGGGGAACTAAAGGTTAACCTTTTGTTTTTTTCGGGATTATGTAGGGACTATACTACCCTTCAAGGTTAAAGGTTGCCTACTCTACTACTAGCTCAGGCTTGCTGAACCTTGGGCTTCCGGGGATCTGGTGCTCTGGAGCCCTATAGGGGTCTACGGGAACTGCAAGATTGGCCCCAAAAAAGGCCAAGCTACAAACCCCAAAAAAGCTTCGAAAACAATACCTGCAGGGGTGACTTTCCATTGCGAAGGTCTGGAGAAAAATTGCGGGAGTTTCGGCGGCCGTGTTTGTGGCAAGGCTTGTTTGGGATTGCGGGGGTTTCGGGGAATGACTGAATACAGGATGTTGTCGGTTTCAAGGGGCTCCAGGGTTTACCCTACTAGTTCAGCTTCAGGGATTCGGGTTTAGGGAGTTCAGGTTCAGGGATTCGGGTTTAGGTGTCCCTATAAACCCTAAACTTCCAGTCAGCCCTCTCCTTGACTTGCCTTTTGTGGCGACAGGCACGGCAGTTCCAACTGCCCTTGAAGTCGTTGCCCTTGGGGTCCTGGAGGTGTCTGCAGGCTGAAGCAGCAACACATAAAGCGGAAGATGAGCAACATAACACGGATTTCGTGTACCATGTAAGCCAAGCAACTTGCCGATGACGCAGTCTAAACCGAAGGAACTAAACCCCACACCCCGAAACAATCCGAAACCCCCACACCCTAAACCCTATAAACCTTAAACCCTAAAAACCCCCAAACCCTAAACCCTATAAACCTTAAATCCTAAAACCCCGAAACCCTAAACCCTATAAACCTTTAATCCTAAAACCCCGAAACCCTAAACCCTGTAAACCCTAAGTCCAAAAAAAAAAACCCAAACTCTGAACTGCCAACCCTGAGCTCCCAACCCAACACCTTCGGACGGGTCCTTGTGGCCACAGAGACTGCATGCGAATGCCTGCTGCGAATCAGGGCTTCCGGGCTTTTGGAAGACCTGGAGACCTGAACTGCTACCCATAGGCTCCATAGTAGTTCCTTTTTGGGATTACCCTATAGGATTCTGAATATGAACCCCCAAAAAGGAACTACTATGGAGCCTCCAGGTAGCTTAAGCTCCTCATGTAGGGGCCTTAAGAAATAGAATAGGGGTTTTGGGGGGGTATATCATGATATATAAGTATAATGGGAACCACCAACACCCTGTTTCCTTTTAGCCTGAACCCCAACTCCTGCAACTCCTGGCCCCACTTGCCAACACACCCAGGAAAGTGGCCGTTTCGACTGGCCTCCCAGCACGGCTGGCAGTAGAAGCCACAATCCTCAACCATTTTGTTAAGCCTCTCTAAACCTCTTCGGGCTGCATGCTTCAGGTCAAGGTCAACAGAGATTGGGGTTCCGGGGTTAACGTTTCGGATTTCGGATCACTAAGCTGTTGACACCAACCCTGCACTGACTCACGATTGGGGGTCGCAGGGGTTCTGGTGACAAGAACCATAGAAACTCCTAAACCCTAAACCCCTAAACCCCTAAAAAACGATTCCAAGGAGGCCCAGCATCGTACATGCTCCAACTGGTCGGCATCTTCACTCGCTGCTGGCCACCTCGTTCTCCGACTCCCGGTCCCCCGGTACAGTAGAAGCCATAAAGTTGGAACACCATTACCCCCATACCTTTAAGGTAACGTAGAGGGACTCCCCGCGCTAATCATCCTAAACCCATGTTCCAACTTTCCGGGGTTCAGTATATCTTATGACTTATGACATCTAACGACCACCAAACCATCAAAAACCACCCACAAGCCGCCAAACTATGGTTAAAGCATTCGGGACGCCTGGGCCTTCAATAAACCGCCTGGTAGGAAACATACTCAGTATCAAATGATGTGGTGGCCCTCCCCTTACCGGGCAAAGCAAGGATTTTGTGGGGCCATCTACCAGTTCAGGATTCAGTCTGTTAGGGGGCAAACTGTTTTGGCCGTACCCATGTTGATCTCCACCTTTGGAGGACAGGGTGCGTCTACAAGTACCTTTGTATAACTTGTTTGCATACGCACGTGAAACCTAGCCTCAATTCCTGATCGCGCTGCGACCCAAACTCTTGAAACTGACCTGTAGCCTAAACCCAACCCTAAACCCCCAAAACAACAAAGAAACTTTTTAAACAACAGGCCCCGGTACAGCTGCTGCAGGTCACCCCACGCTTCACTGGCCCTGTGGAGCCAGCCATGAGGGATCTGGGAACGGTGCTTTGGGTGCTCGTGCTTTCGGGGGCTTAGGGTTCAGGAGTTAGGAGTTTAGAGCATTTAGGGTTCTTTTTTTTTGAGGGCCCTTTTCCCTCTTGCGTTTAGGGTTCAGGGTTTAGGATTCGGGCATCGAGGGCTCAGGACTGGGGTGTTGAGTTTAGGTTTCGGGGTTGGAGGGCTCTGAAGCTTTAGAGCCTAAGACATGGGTTCAGTGCCTGGCCCTTTTTGCCGTTGGGATGCGGGAGGGGAATTTGTCAACCCCCGTTGAAACCTCTGTCGTTTCGTTCTACCTATCGCTCCGTGTATCATTGCTGATCCCTCTATCGCAATGTCGCGCGAACGAACATAAAACATGCACGGACACCTGGGAGTTTCCGACAATAGGGGTACCTGATTTAGGGGTCCTTATAATAAGGATCCTATATTAGGTTCCCCTATTTTGGGAAACTCCCACCTAGATATATCGACACACGCACAGAAAGTCCGCAGTCGAGGGGCCGGCGGCGGCCGTTAATGGGACCGCGGGTCATTGCTTCGGTGATGTGTCCGCCTTTGAGCCAGCACAAACGAAACGGGGTTTAGGGTTTAGGGGGTTTAGGGTTTAGGGGTTTAGGGTTTAGGGTTAGGGTTTAGGGCATCTGGAGAATGGCATGGAAGGCTGGAAGCTTGGCATACAAGCAGCGAAGGGTGCAGCACCCTGAGTCTCGACGCAGGAAATCTGCTCACTGCTGCATACTCTCGCGATTGCGCAGTCGAGCAGCCTTTTGCCTCCTGCCTGCATCACGTCGACAGTGATCCGGAACCCTGCGGTCGAATAGTAGGCTCTTACCGATCCTAGTCCTACCCTTGTGTGATCCCGAGGTTCCAATGAAGGCCCGGTCCGACGACAGATCAGGAGCTCTCTCTCTGCCCAGGTCGTGCGGAGTGTCAGTTTTTATGACATCCACAGAACCAGCAACAGCCTTGGCTTCTTAGCCTGCGCTGTTGTTGCTGAATCTTGCAATCGCTTGCTGCAGGGACACGGTAGTTGATACAAAAAGGCAGGAACCCATGTCGCGCACTGTACGAATGACCACTTGTAGTGTCTCCATCGTCCTCCTCCTGCTCCTCATCGTCATCTCCACGTCGCCATTCTCATCATCATCACCATCATCATCATCATCCTCATCATCATCATCTTCATCACCATCATCCTCACCAGGATCATCGCTCTCCTTATGGTGGGATGGTCAAACCTACACCACTACCACGTACTCCTACTCCTGATCCTACTGCCGCTCCCGCTACCGCTACCGCCACGGCTGCACTGCTACTGCCACTACTGCAGCTGCTGCTGCGAAAAAATGCTACGACTGCGACTACTACTCCTGCTGCTACTGCTCCTTCTGTTACTGCTGCTCCTACTCCTACTCGTGCTGCAGCGACAACTGCTACACATCGATATTTACACATCGTCTCCGTCCTTCACACGCTTGGGCAAGTGTTGGAGCCTGAACACGGTGGCATGTTGAGCTTCAGCCGCCGGGTCACATGTCTTGAGACATTAGGGTGGCTATCCAGGTTCTATAGCTCTCACGGACAAGAGGTCATCCTACTGCAGCAAGTGTCTGCACCATTTCTGCTGTGAAACTGTTACGAGACGCGTTCGGCCTCGATCCCCAAAACGCTCCGTCTGGCTCTCGTTCCGGGAGCTTCGTTCTACTGACGCTGCTAACGGGGGGCTAGCTGCGAGTTAACTGTGACGTCGCCACTGTACTCTCGGCAATACCTCAAGTGGCACCGAACATCAAAAACAAGCTTCGCAACTACTTCGCAATCGTGGCATGGACAAGGCCAGTCATCCCGCCTATGCCAGCGGTCCTTACACCGACCGTCTGTTTTGTTTGATGTAGTTGGCGGACGGCTTCAGTCAGAGCGTCTTGGGTGGCCAAGCAGGCTCAGGACAACACGCAGGAGCTGTTTTTGGAGCAGCCACCACCCTGGGTAGATCCTGCATCCTGGGCGTAACGTGGCTGGTCTCACAGCGTCGGATATAACGAAACTAGATTTCCCGAAGCACTCCCGGTCAGAAGCTTGGAGATTTGAAGCGTCGGGGTATTGGCGGCTAAAACCTTTTCGTCTCACACTATGGTGGCGCACAAGGTCCTACAAAACAGGAAGGATGAGGGAATACAGCCGGAACTTGCTTCAGCACCGAGCCCCAGGCTAGTATCCGTATACAGGGATAGCCTGAAACTTACAGGTGCTCAAGACATGTTTGTGTACATTTGTCTCATGATCGCGTACCACTCGATGCCATTCGACTATGTCTGCTCCGGCTTGATTTAAGGTTCCATGGCTGCTCCAGAGATACCCGAAGCCCTAAACCCTGCGCATCCCCGTCCTAAACCCGGCTCGAAACCCGAGACCCTCAAAGCCGTAAATTCGCAGCATCTAGGCCCTTTGAACCGTAAGCCTTTAATTGTCGAGCGGCGCCGGGATCCTCGGAAAGAGCTCGCCAGTTGGTGTCAACCATTGTGGTTAGGAGCTTCGTCAGTTCTTCCTCGTAAGAGCGAACAGGACTGAACTGAAAGAATGGGCTCGCGGCTTGGAGCATAGTGTACTTTCACGATGCAGGGGTTCCTATGGCTCAAATCACTAGAAACGGAAAGATAGGCTGGTCGACGAGCTGTAACATTGCCTTGTTGTATATTGTAAGTACCAAAGCTACACGAACGCTGTCATATGTTGCCGTTTGTCGGAGGTGAGCTGTGTGCCCCATCAGGCCGATGACCTCGCAAATGTTGTGGCAGTTTGTGTTCGAACACCTCCACAACGACAGCGATAACCGAACTTCCGAGCACGGCTGCAGCACACAACTCTGGGAACCATGCTTCTGGAGGTCGGAGCTTGAAATACAAGCGCTCGACATCAAGCAACTCGGATGGTCAAAACGAAGAGAGCAATCAATGTACATCCACAGCTGCCGCCGCGAATCCGGATTGTAATATACATCCATGCCAGTGATCTGCAGCTCCATGTTGACCTGCATTCATTCTGCTGCTGCCCCAGTCATACCCGCATCAGAGTCACAATTTGAACCCTCAGCTCGAGCGCTTTTTGATCTCTTCCGTTTACTTCGGAGGCTGATCGATTGCAAGGTTTGTTGGGGTCAGTAAAGACAAATCTTGGGAGCATTTCGGTGCAGCTGGTGTGCTGGCGCTGTGTGTGCTGACACGCTTCGAACTGCGCAGGACATCTTGCTACATTGACTCCTTGTTGCAGTGATCCACTTTTCTTGCCATTGCTGCTGCTGTGGAGTATTCTTCTATAAATGATTGGTTGCTGTCACGTGGAGTGCCACTTGTGCCAATAATGCTGCTATTCTCCAATTCATGTCTTCATAGGTTATTGCCACCTCAACTTCTACGTTCCGGCTACGGCATCGCTTACACTTCTAGGACATGCTACGACTATTGCGAGGCTCTCTGCAATACTTTCATTGCGAATACAGCGAAAAATGCTTGTGCTGGTGCGAACACTACGACTCGTTAGGCATCAGCTTACAACACTCCTTTGCCATACTCATTGTCATGCTTGGAAACCCTTTGGTTCCAGCAGCATGGCGGCTATGAAGCGTAATCCTGGTGCTTCCAAGCAGTCTGACTGCTGTGAAATCCGGTTTGCAACCTCAAGTTCATGCCGCTCAGAAATCAAAAAAAGCTAAATATTGTGTCACTTCAGCTAATATAGGGGCCTTTATAATTAGAAAAGGGTTTTCATGCCCATAATACTATACTTATATTACGGAACCCAAAATAAAATAGGTAATTATTAAGGCCCCTGGCTGAGGGAAAAAGATGCTTGCCTTGGCAATGCACATCCCAACAATGCCTCGGTTCTCAGCCGTGACTTGATCTGATTTCTGGTGTTTTACTCTAAAGGCTCAACACCGGTTGACTTCCAAAGGAGAAGCTCTTGAGAAATGATACCAATCTCTGGGTCAGGCATTAAAGGAACGAGTTTGCTTTTGAGGGGCCGTGAAGGGAGTGAGCGCTGTCCACGAAACAACAACAGGTTATTGGAATTGTATATCAATATCAGACTGCCCAAACTCACCTTTCCTAGTAAGAGGCTTTTCTGTCAAGTGCTCGCGGCGTGGCGTTCGGATGCCTGCGCCCAAACCTTTTGGTTGTCTAGGGCCCTGGCTAGCTGGGGTTAGGGTTCAGGGTTCCCCCAACCGCCCAAACCCCCCGCAGACCTTGAGAAAGGCTAGTGTAGGGGTCTTTGTCCTTAGAATAGGGTTTGGGGCGCCTGTACTAGTACAACAATAAGGAGCCCTTAAGGAATAGCATCCGCAACTATTGTTTTGCTATAGTAGGCCGAGCTGCTAACCATCTGCCCGTTGCCCTTGTATCTGCGGCCAGCTCTGTCAGTAAAGACGCCGGTGTACTTTCCAAAGTGTCTCCATTTGAAGACGACCTTGCGCACGCAGGAGCAGCATGTAAGTTCAATGCACGCTTGCACCGCCCCACCCCCTGAATCTTTCAAACACCGGAAATGTCACTTTAAAGTCCAAACCTCCGCTCTCGAGGGAAAGCTTTTTGTCCACACTCCATAATCGATTGCTTGGAACCTCAGCCCAAAAATCGCAAAGGTTAATATGATCCTCCATGCTTCGCATCCCCGTGACAGTATACTGTGTTATACTATACCCGGTCATGTTATAGTCTGGAGCCCAGGGGCAGTCGGAGGTCCGGAAAAGACCTTCGCACGGGCTGTTGGGGCCGCAAAAAGGTTCATCTTAGCATCGATTACAGCAAGCTGTTTAGGGCTAAGGGGGACAGAAAACACCGAACGCTGGAACATGGATGAGGGATGATTGTGCTGGGATCGCCTATACTTTACCTTATAGTCTTATAGGGCAAGGAAATGACGATTATGATGACAACACTTTCTGGCTGCTACTGTAGCGTTACACTCCCTGATTCGTCCTGGACCACCCAAACAGGTGTCTTGGACGAACAGAACAGGTGGATTAGGAGGAGGAGCAGGAGGAGTGGGACAGCTACCACTGCTTCGACTTGTTTTTTTTTCAGCACGGCATTCCAAAAACGGGCGGCCAGAAAACCCTAAACCCTAAACCCAGCTTCTTTGACCAATCAGCGAAGCCCGAAGGTTATGCACGCAACTAGGATGTACCGGTGTCCCAATCCACACCTACGAAATTGTGCCTTGTCGTAAGGATCAAAGGGCAAGACGCAACACCGACAGCAATATGCCAGCTGCTCTCTTTATCCAGATCCGACAGCCGTCGAGAATCGGTCATTCGTTCCCTCAGCCCCCAACCCAAGAACAAACAAAGGAAGAAATCGGTACACTCACCAAATCCTGAGACATCCCATCCACTACACCTCCAGGCATTCCCAGGCAAAGCCCATAGGAAATGCGGTGCGGAACACCTGCCATGGGCTTGGGTGCCTCTAGATGTGCGAGGTGTTAGCTTTCTAGAGCTGTAGATGTCGAAGGCAGTTGTTCCACCAACCCCGGGATATCGAAGCTGCCTAGCCAGACGACCGTCAGCCCTTCGGCTAAGCTGTAAACCCTAAAGCCCTAAAGCTGTAGGCTGTTATGTTTTTTCACCACGAGGATTCTATCCTCGGCCGAATCCGTCAGTTAGGACTAGGGAGTCTGGGTTTTGGAGGTCTGCCTACAGGCAGGGTTTAGGGTTTAGGGTTTATAGGGTTTAGGGTCAGGTCTGTGTGTGTGTGTGTCTTTACTAGGGTTTTGGGGGTTCTGGGGTTTTCGGATTTCAGGGTCTAGAGGCTCAGGTTGTTGCGCTGGGATGTACCAGTACCGGACCCAAAGTTCCCAACTCCACCGCTGCGGAATCCCATCGGCGCCCAAAGACTACGGCAAATGGTCTTTTGCCAAAGTTTGCTGGGCTTGATCCTTGATCGGAGTGATATTCTAGGATGCCCCTGCTAGCTGAACTCGTGATTCGGCAAACGCAACAGGGGTAGCATTGCAATGAACGTTGAATCGGTGTAACATGGAAGCTTCAATCATTCGAGTCGGCTTTCGTGCTTATACTAGTACGTCCTGTAAAAGGACTACACTGGTAATAGCAAATCCTGCTTGCTCCACCCCCGCCCATCCCCCCCTACCGGACAGTAGTATGTGAAGCACCCGATGGCTGCTAGCACCTTCTGGGAGGACTCGAAGCTATGCACTCCTGGGTCGTGTCGTGGTTTCAGGCTTCAGGGCTTCTCCGATCCCTTCTGCTTTGTGACTTGGGTCTTAGGGACGTGAGGTCTTTAACGAAGGAACATGACTTGTAACTTTAACTGGCAACCCTGACCATGGAACCAACGTCAGGGTGGAGAGGTAGCTCGACATAATGCATCACGACCCCCTTACATCTGTGACGCTCTGAACCCAAAAAGAACAACGGTTGATGATATAAATCCTGCATTACCCATAATAGGAAATATACCATAATTCCCATAGTTTAGGGTCCTTAAGGTAATGCAGGATTTATATCATCAACCGAATGACGCAGCCAAACTGCCCCCACACCAGACCAGGGTTGCTGGAATCGAGCGGTTTAGGGTTTAGGGTTTAGGGTTTAGGGGTT